TCTAATTCCCTCCACTTTTCCCAACATTAGTGTCTTTTCTAATGAGTCATGTCTTTTCATGATGCGGCCAAAATATGACAGCCTCAGTTTAGTCATCTTTGCCTCCAGGGAAATTTCAGGCTTGATCTAATCTAGGACCCACCTATTTGTTCTTTTTGTTGTCCACAGTATCCTCAGCACTCTTCTCCAGCACTATATGTAAAATGAATTTATTTTCTTTTTGTCCATTATCTTACTTGTCCAGCTCTCACATCAATATATGCTAATGGGGAATACAATTGCTTGTACGATCCTGACTTTTGTGTTTAGTTGTATATATCTTTGCTCTTTAGGACCTTTTTTAGTTCCTTCATAGCTGCCCTCTCCATCCTTAGTCTTTTCTAATTTATTGACTGCACCCCCTGTTCTGATCTATGTTTGATCCAAGATATAGGAACTCTTTTATTATTTCTATGTCCTCATTGTCTAGATTGAACTTGTTAAGATCCTTCATGGTCATTTTTTGTTCAATATTAATCCTGCCTTTGCACTTTCTTCCTTGAACTTCCACAGTAGTTGCTCGAGTCTAGGTCTTTTATGTTTTCTGCTAATAGTATGGTGTTGTCTGCATATCTTAGATTACTGATGTCCCTTCCTCCTATTTCCACTCCTCCTTCTTCTGTGTCCAAGCCTGCTTTTCATATAATATGTTCTGCATACAAATTGAAAAGATAGGGTGAAAGGATGCAACCTTGTCTGACCCCTTTGCCAATTGGGAACCATTCTGTTTCTTCATCTTCTGTTCTGACAGTAGCCTCCTGTTCTGAGTACAGATTCCTCATCAGGATTATTAAATGTGTTGGCACGCCCATGTCCTTAAGGGCCTTCCATACTTTCATGAACTATGCAGTCAAAGGCTTTGCTGTAGTCTATAAAGCACATGCTGCACTGCACTATTATAGTGCTATTATTCTATTTTAACTACTATGACTGTCTGTTGTGGAATTCTTTTAGTTTGTAGTTTAGTGAGGCCTAAGAGCTCTCTGGCTGAGAATTCTTAATGACCCTCCTTTATCCAAGATTTCACATGAGGCAGCCATAACAGTTAAAGTGGAATAATAATGCTTTAATAGTGTAGTGTAATATTGCCCTTTGAGCCAATTGCAGGCTCTCTCTCTCTCTCTCTCACACACACACACACATACACACACAACTTGACCTACCTGTCAGAGTTGTGAGGATGAAGAGGAGAGCCATGTGTACCACCATTGATTCCTTGAGAAGAAAGGTGGAGGTGACAGCTAAATTAGGAGGACTTCACACATTTTGCAGCACTCTCTTTGGTCCCATTTCAGGAAAGCAATCAAACAATAGCTCTACCAATGTTCTGTCAGATCCAGTTCACCAGTGTCCAAGGTCCATTAGGATAACTGGCATCCCTTGTGAAATTACCATTCAATCTTAACCTGTTAGTATCTGAAGGAGCATTTTGAAGATGTTTGTGTTCTGGATGTTTGACACACAAAGGAAGCTGTCATACATGAAGTAATAGGTCTATCTATCTCAATGTTTGCCCACACCAGGATTGCAGAGCTTGTGATCCTTCAAATATAGATGGGTTCCAGTTTGGTCTCAGCCAGCTTGGTCCCTGGAGAGGCTAGTGGTGGATGATGGTTTCCATGCCAGTGGGGTGTAGAATCCACTTTAGATTTTAATTCAAGATTTAAAGGAGCTATCCAATGTGCTGAATCTATTGGGGATATAGGATTCAGTGCCTTGGACACCTCCTTTAAAATTCAACCTAAAACAGACTTGGATATCACTGACATGGAAGTTGTCATCATCCAGAGTTGGAAGGCCACAAGTTCCCCACCCCTGACCTACACTACCCTCCTTCTTTACCAACATGGTGCCTTCCAGATGTATTTGACTTCAACTCCTATCACTCCCAATCTTCTTGGTCTATGTGTTCTGGAGATGATGTGGTTGTGACTGGACACCTCTGGAGGATACCAGGCTGAAAAAAATGGATCAACACTGACTGTTGTATTTTCCATCTCCTTTCCCTGAAGATACCAGCAATTGAAGAATGGGAACTATTGCAGCCAAAGTTTGGGCTTTATCAGGGACCCATGGCAGTTTCCAATAATCAACACCAGAACAGTGACTTGGAAGCAAATAGCAGAACTTAATGGATAAGAACTTGAGTTAAGGCAGTCTCAAATCCTTGCCCAAAAACATCTCCCCCTCGAGTCAATGCAGTGCTGCTAAAACAGATCTCTAGCTCTCTCATCGCTTGAATAGAAAGAATTATTAGTTACTCTGAAAGGATAGTTAGGGACTTTTCTGTATATAAAGAACTGGGAAACAGTTTTCTGTATATAAAGAACTGGGATTAGCCAACTGCAACACTGCGACAATGGGATCCCACCCTCCCCTTCATTGTCACATGTTGAGGTATGGGGGCGGCAAGGCTCCCAATATTCACTGAATCCTCAAGAGTATCCCACCCTACCCTCACTCATTACTCTGCTTAAAAGCCTCCTGTTGGTTCCAATGATAGGTGCTGTTCTTGTTTAAAACATTAGTTTTCAAAGGGATAGTCATGTTAGTCCATTTCAGCATAAAATGGTGTGTGTGTGTCAAGGAATCCAGCAACATTTTTGAGATTAACTGATTTATTTTTGCATGAGCTTTTATGGGTATCAGTCTACTTCAGATGTACTGAGGAAGCTGGAGGAACTCCTGTACTGATGTACTGAGGAATTAGGGTTCCCATATACCTGTGGCTGGGTGAATCCTGCAAGTGCATCTGAAGGAGTGGGCTGATATCCACAAAATTTCATGCTAGGTTAAATCAGTCTCAAAGGGCTAGCTGCCTGATCCCTTCATTGTCTCCTCTTTTCTATTTTGTTGTTGTGGTAATTAGCTGCCTTCAAGTTGACCTCAACTCAGGGTGATCTTGTGAATGAGATGTCTCCAAGCCCTCCTATCCTCTATCTCTCTGCTCAGGTCCTATAGGTTCAGGCCTGTTGTCTCCCTGATTGAGTCTAGCCATCTTGCATGCAGTCATCCTCTCATTCTACTGGCCTCTCTACTTTCCCTGGCATTATTGTCTTTTCCAATGATTCATGCCTTATGATGTGGTCAAAGTATGATCACCTCAGTTTAGTCATCTTGGTTTCCAGGGAGAGTTCAGGCTTGATTTGTTCTAGGACCAAATTGTTTGTCTTTTTGGCCATCCACAGAATCCTCAGCACTCTTCTCTAACACCACATCTCAAATGAATTAATTTTCTTCTTATCCGCTTTATTCACTGCCCAGCCCCCAAAACTGTACATGGTAATGGGAAATACAACAGCTTGGACAATTCAGTTGTATATCTTTATTCTTTAGGCTTTTGTGTAGTTCTTTCATAACTACCCTTCCCATCCCTAATCTTCTCATTTCTTGACTGCAGTCTCCATTCTGATCAATGTTTGATCCAAGGTATGGGAAATCTTTAACTGTTTCAATTTCCTCATTATCTAGATTGAATTTATGTACATCCTCCATGGTCATTATTTTTGTTTTCTTTATGTTTAACATTAGGCCTGCCTTTGCACTTTCTTCTTTCACTTTCTTTAGTGATTGTTCCCAAGTCTATGATGCTTACTGCTAGTAGTATGGTATCATCTGCATATTTTAGATTGTTGATTTCCCTTCTTCTAGCTTCTTCAGTTGCTCACCCCTGATTTGCACTACTACTACTACTAGTAGTAGTAGTAGTAGTAGTGAAAGCCAGCATGGTGTAGTGGTTTGAGCACTGGATTATGACTCTGGATTATGGCTCAGCTGTGAAACTCACTGGGTTACCCTGAGCAAGTCACACTCTCTTAGGGGGGTTGCAGACTGCCAGAAATAGTGCAAATTGAGTCCACTTTTAGGGTTAGGATTAGGGTTAGGGAATCATGGGAACTGTATTTTATTGTGGCACCAGAGCTCTCTGACAGAGAAGGCTCAATGTCTCAGAAAAAAACACAATTCTCATGATTCCCTAGCACTAACCCTAACCCTAAAAGTGGACTCAATTTGCACTATTTCTGGCAGTCTGCAACCCCCTTTAGTCTCGGATGATAGCAATGGCAAACCCCCTCTGAAGAGACCTGCCAAGAAAACCCCATGATAGGATCGCCATAAGTCAAACATGACTTCAAGGCACACAACAAGTAGCAGTAGTAGCAGTAATGTGGAGATATCACCATCAAGTGCTTTGAAAGCCTTCTCTTCTCCAAAGAGAGCTAAGGATCAAACTGTTCTCAGGCTGCTCTTAGGAGAGATAAGGAAAGTGTGTGATTTGGAGCAAGCCAGGTGCCTCACCTCTCTTTGCCTGCTGGGTTCTTGACTCTCCATCTGTCTAAAGGGGAATGAGGGACTTGTGTTTCTCCAGATACCCTTGCACTGCAACTCCCATCCTCCCCCACCATCAGCTATGCTGGCTAGGGTTTATGAGAACTGCAATCCAATAACAACTTTATGGTGGGCCAACCAGCAGCCCTTTGGGGAAGTCACAGGCTTTTCTTTAAGAAAAACTTTGTTGTTGTTGTATGCCTCCAAGTCGTTTCCAACTTACGGCAACCCTAAGGTGAACCTATCATAGGGCTAATATGTATAGAAATTTTGTAGCACCTTTGAGACTAACTGGAAAAAAATAAATAAAAAGAGGTTTGTAGCATGAGCTTTCGAACACTTTAGTCTACTTCTTCAGATGCTTATGATGGACTGAAAGCCAGGGACAGACAGGAGTGCAGATGTTTAACTGAAGAGAACTGAAAAGGATTGTTGGCTACTGCAGGTCCAGTTAGCATGAGTAGATCCCATGAGCTCTACATGATAAAAAAACGTAGTTTACAAAGGGTTATCACAGGGCTTTCATTCTTGGCAAGATGTCTTCAGAGGGTTCTCTCTCTCTCTCTTTCTACCATTGCCATCCTCTGAGGCTGAGAGAGTGTGACTTACCCAAAGTCACCCAATGGGTTTCATGGCTGAGCTGGGAATTGCACCCTGGTCTCCAGAGTTGTAGTCCAACGCTCAAACCACTAGGCCAGACAATTCTCATAATCCTCTAGCCACTGTGTCTAGAGGGAAAAAAAAGTAATCCTGGATGGGTTTCTCACCAGGGTCTGTCTAGAAGGGAACCATTCATGAGGCTGGTGTTGTTTCCTCAACCTTGTATAAGAGAAGTTATGGTTCAATAAAGTTCTTGTTCTGGTTGCAAATATGTGCATCAGATAAAGTGAAATGCATTTGATAAATCTGTAGGACAAATAAAACTTGATAGTCTTTCAGATGTCACAAGACACTTACCTGGAAATAAGTCCCATTAAACTTTCTGAGGCTTATCTCTGGGGAGACCTTTAGCCTGAACAGACTGCCAGAAATAATCCAGCTTGAGATCACTTTAACTGCCCTGGGTCAGTGCTAGGGAATCATAGGAACTGTAGTTTATTGTGGCCAGAGCTCTCTGACGGAGGAGGCTCAATGTCTCAGAAAAAAACTACAGTTCCCATGATTCCCTAACATTGAGCCAGGACAGTTAAAGTGGTCTCAAACTGGACTATTTCTGGCAGTCTCTTCAGGCCCTTAGATGGGACTGAATTCTTACATCTACCTTTCATGTTTAATGTGAGAATTAGCATATGACTAGGGGTGTATCTGCACTGCAGAAATAACCCAGTTTGGCACTACTTTACCTGCCATGGCTTCATGCTATAGAATTTTGGGAATTGTAGTTCATTGTGGCACCAAAGCTCTTGACAGAGGAGGCTAAGTACTTCACAAAACTAAAGTTCTAATAATTCCCTAGCATTGAGCCAGGGCAGTTAAAGTGGTCTCAGACTGGATTATTTCTGCAATGTGTTTTAGCCCATAATTTGTAGCCCAAGGCTTTTGGAGGGAGTCCCCACTGAATTCAATGTGAGACCCTTCAGCTTAAAAATAAAAATAATAAAAAGAAGCATGTATTTCTTTGGAAACAATCTTGATGGTGGTTCCTTCTTCTGTGTAAGCATGCTCAGGTTCTGATTCTATCCAGTCTCATTTTGCAATGTAGATCTGAGATTAAATTTTATTATTATTATTATTATTATTATTATTATGAGAGCGACATCCTCAAACAGAGGTTTGGATGTCTCAATGTGCTTCCTAGGAAGCAAACTCAAAGGGAATTTGGTTTCTAGTAGACACATGTTCAAGATTAGGGCAGTTGTGTTATGAAACCTGTTATTTTACAACAGAACTCTTCCAGTTCAGTAGACAAGGCAACAGAGGCCTTTGAACCTTGGACCATGGGCGCATCTGTTCTTGTTGCTGTGTGCCTTCAAGTCCTTTACAACTTTTGGCAACCCTAATGGGGTTATCTTGGCAAGTTTCTTCAAAGGGGGTTTGCCATTGCCATTCTCAGAGGCTGAGACAGTGTGACCAAGGTTACCCAGTGGGTTTCCATGGTCAAGCCGGGATTCGAACCCTGGTCTCCAGAGTCACCAGCGCACAAACCGCTACACCATGCTATAGCTTCCAGCATCTACACTGTAGAAATAATGCATTTTGACACCAATTTACTTGCTG